CCAAGTAACTAGGCGTTTGTTGATACGTAATAACTTCCGTATAGCATACATTATACGAAGTTATAAATATATATATATATATATATATATATAAAATATTTATATACATATACATATGCATATACGTATACGTATACGTATACGTATACATATACATTCCATAAAAATCACCTGACACTATCTACTTACTGGTAGATATTTTCTCAAATTCTCCCTTTGTCTCGTCACTACTCATATATAGATCCGTGACAATTTGGCGCAAAAAATCGTTCTGTGAGTACCGAAGGGAATGTGCATCGTAGTCTATCAGTGACTGCTCTAATAGATTGCCCAGAGTGTCCTCGGCGTCTTCGTAATCTGCATGGAATGTAAATATGTATACGTGGAGATATGTATGTGTATGTGCGTATGTATGTGTCTGTATATATATATATGTATGTGTATATGCATGTGTATGTGTATGCATATAAATGTATATAAATATATGTATATGTATATGTATATGTTTAGGTATATGTATATGTACAAGTATGAGTACTAGTAGAAGTAGAGGTAGAAGTAACAGTAGAAGTAGAAGTAGAATATATTTACTTGTGTGTCTCTGATTGTATTTGACCATGGTGAACCGATGACCCATACGTATAACAGCTTGTTCGTCATTCGACAATACGTGTACAGACATTCAGACATACGTGTACATTATATCCGATGAATGCGAGCATCATACTCATAACGTAATAATTACGTGAGTCTATATTTCCATTCCGTTTTTTTACCTTCTAACAAACGAAAACAAGATGCTGCTTGATTACGCTTTGGGTGTCACTAGAATTATTCAGTCTCAGCGCGACCAAGCCATAGTTGATACAAGAAGATCGGTGCAGTTGTACTATATGCTTAGCCAAACGCACCATATCTTGCCATCACATACTGCACTATCCCACGCAATACACACGCACATTCGGTATCCGCTCTTGAGGGGGTGTGTACCCTAGAGGGGCAGAGACAATGTATAGTGATACATATACTACCCCCCTACCCACAGACTCTCCCTATATGACACAGGAAGGAATAAACAAGACAATAACAAAAACAATAATGTGGATAAAACTAGCACGCCTCATGCCTAGTCCCAGGATGCAAGATGCTGCCATGCCATCAAACGGCCCCGCAAAGACACTCAGCTGTCTAAGCGCAACCATGTCGTCTTTAGGAACTAAGTCCAACATTTCTCTTAAGCCTAAACGATCCGCCAGTGCCGCGCGTTTGTTTGGAGATGTTCGGTACTTGGCCAGTAGCATGGCGGGGGTTAGGTTAGGCCGGTGATTCAGGAGGCTATAGAGATGTGGGTGCAGTTGTGTTTGTATACACGAGTAGGGATATGAGTTAGGTGAGGTTGGGGAGATAGACCGTGTGTATAGACAAATGAGTGTTTGTGTGGAGTCTCCGTAGTCGTTTTATGAAACAAGCTCATAGGTGACCGGCATGTGATTGGGGTTGTAGTGAAGTTGGCTTTGGGCCGTGATAAGTAGGGTTTAGGGTTTGTTTTAGGGATTAAGGATTAGGAGTTTCCATTCTTGTGAAGAGTTTGACCTTTTGCCTTTAGGGTTTGCCGTTTTAGAGTTTCAGAGTTTAGGGGTTTATTGCTAGGGCGATGTAGCGTTGTGTAGTGCAGGAAGTTTTAGCATTTAACCTTGTTCAATGCAATGTATGGATGATCAGAATATACGGATGTAGGAATATAAATTCAGTATGGATGACAAACCCTTGTTCTCTGGTACATATCTAATTCAGTTGACACAATTGTATCTATTTCGGTACGAATCGAGAATGGCCAGCGGTGCCAGGGTTTAGGGTTGTAGGGTTTTAAGTACTGAGCGTTCGCCACCATTCTGTACGTCACGGATAATTATGTGACAGTGAACTGCGGTGCGATAGCATCTCTAAAGCTTTAAACCCTGGAAAACCACACATGGAAACGCTTGAAACTCAGAGAATGCGGCAAGGGCTTTATGGGATTAGATAGAAAAATTGCGCATAGAAAAACCTGTACGTCAAACGTATACTTCAAAGGGAAGACAGTCTCAGCTCTACGGCCTCACCGATATGTTACTTCGAACGATACCATTTCAGTATGTAGTATAACAGTCTCTACAGAGAGCACTCAATGGGGTAAGCAACAGCCATACAGCACCATACCCTCCTATCACTCGTATGCCTAGAGGCAGAAACCCGCTCTGCTGACACAGTCCCAATCCCACGTCACTGTCGATGTCAGGCACAAACTTCCGGAGCAGTTCCAACCCCTCGGTAGGAGTGAGATCACTAACTACCTGAGAATAGAAAGATACATGCAACAGGAATGAGGGACTATGAATCTATA